ACCCAAGAATTCCAGCCATCACCGATAACATATGATCATGTCAATATTAATAAAATAATATAGATAATTAACAACACTTCATCACCCAATATCAATAATATATATATATATATATATATATATATATATATATATATATATATATATATATATATATATATATATATATATATATATATATATATATATATATATATATATATATATATATATATATATATATATATATATATATATATATATATATATATATATATATATATATATATATATATATATATATATATATATATATATATATATATATATATATATATATATATATATATATATATATATATATATATATATATATATATATATATATATATATATATATATATATATATATATATATATATATATATATATATATATATATATATATATATATATATATATATATATATATATATATATATATATATATATATATATATATATATATATATATATATATATATATATATATATATATATATATATATATATATATATATATATATAAATATAATTTATAAATAGAAAAATTAGGTATTAGACATAAGTAACTTTACTAATTAGTATTTGAGATATTGAGTATTTTTGTTTGGGTTTTAATACCTAGGAAATAATTGTTATTTTGGATTAGGCCGAAGAGGAGACCCAGATTCGTTGGGCCTGTCTAAATTACAAAGTTAAAATACAATTTTACCCTTTTTGTTTAAAAGCCTGACCAAAATTAGATCTCTCTCATCAATCTCTATCTAGTGGAAGTTGAGGTTAACCTCACGGGAGTTTAGGTCCTCGACCTCGCCGACTCCACAACCTCCTCATCTCTCTTCGACCTCTCTTTGTGGGAGATCAAGATAAAGGAGATGGCTGCAGGCAGAGTTTTTGTTCCTAACAAGATGTTGGTCTCCTCTCCCAAGTTTCCAATAGGTTGTTTTCCTCTCCTAAGTTCCCAACAAACAAGAAGGCGTGCTCTCCTGTCCCAGGTAACCAAGTTTCAACATTCCTTTTCCCAAATTGATTATTCTTTTCTTTGCCCAAATTGATTATTCTTTTTCTTTGCCCAAATTGTTTCTTCACTCTTTACAACTTATTCTTTCCTTTGCCAAGGCCAAAATGTGTGCTCTCTCTGATCCTCTCCACTCCACGCCACACCGTCTCTCTCATATTACAAATTACTTGGAATTTGAAGCCATGAAATGATTGCAAGAAGAAACAAAGAAAATCAGAAGGTGAATCCCTAATTTGTCAATGCTTTCCATATATTATTTGTTTTTAGTAGACATTTTCATATATTGTTTTTGTATAGGATGCTTGGGTATTTCAAGGAGATCGACTCTCCTCCACCTGTGAGAGCCTCTTTCTCTTTCAATCGCTTTTAATGCATTTGCTTGTATTTGGAGTTGGGGGTTTGAAAATAATGTTAATCCTTACGATTTTATAGGTTTTTCTTTTTCTTTTTTGTTTGTTTGTTTGATCCATTTTGTTTGTTTGTTTGAAAAGATGGCCTGGTATTGTTGGATCCATTTTGCTGTATAATTGCCTCTTTTTTTTTCTTTTTGATACAAGTGATTATGTTTTTGGTCAATTTTGTGAAAATCAAAATACTTGAGAAAAAAGAAGCTGCTTTGAAGAATCAAATTCAATTTCATCTAGTTGATCTGGAAGGAACTTCTGTTACTTTGATATGTTTCCATTGCATGTTACAGTGTCTTTTCAATTAGCATGCTTAGTGTTACTAGTAATCTAGCTGGGCAGGCAAGTGATAAAGAACGTAGTTAGAATTCTTTTTTATTAAATCAATTTGATACAGCTCTAATACAAGGATTGCCACTTGCCCTTTGCTTGTTTCAAATATATTTTTTCCTTTTATTTAGGGCCTCTACTCATCACTCAAGTCTGTATTGCACAAAAACAGAAATTGCATTGCAGAAAACGGAATGTGCAATGCAGAAAAGAGAAACATGAATAACCTATTTTACATTCTAGGTGGCTTTCAGTCTGATTCCCTCTCTCCCAACATGTCTTGAATAAAAAATATATATATTGTTTTCTTTTGTTTAACTCTAGAGCTGAGCATTTTTGCACAGACTCAGCATTTCAGTTCCCATTTTTGTATTGCAGTTTCTATTTCTGCATCGCAGTTTCCGTTTCTGCATTGCAGTTTCCGTTTCTGCATTGCAGTTTCCATTTTAGTACTTTCATCTTGGTTCCTCCATTTTGCTTCTATAAAATTATTATTATTATTTTTGTATATAATTGATATCTACATTGTATTTTTGTTGCAGTTTCTGCTTTTATTTTCAGTTTTTGTGTGAATATGTGGTGAAATGAATTTTTTTTTAATTAAAAAAAACCGTTTATCGTTTATATAATTATTGTATAACTGAATAAATATTACAAAATCAAGTTTGGTGTAGTGGTTTGTGAGTGAGCCTTCCTCCTTTGAGGATCAAGGTTCGAGTCCATTCAATGACACAAAATCTTTTTTTTTTAAAGGTGAATAAAGGGCAACGGAGTTGATCCCCTGCAGACGGTGGCAGGCCGGGGACGGGCGGCGGCAGGAGTTTGGCGGCGAGATTCTGTCGGTGGTGGTCGGCGGCGGGATTCCGGCGGTGGTGGCCGGCGGCGGGATTCCGGCGGTGGTGGCCGGCGGCGAGATTCCAGCGATGGTGGTTGGATAGATATGGACATGTGACATAGTATGCTTGCCTTAGAAGGAGTGGCATTGTGTGTAATTTTGATATTTTTTAATGATATTTTTGTAAATTAGGTACCACATTTTGGTCTTTGGCCTTATGCTAATTAGATGAAATTGTATTTCTATCTTCCAAATTAGTAAACTATATTGTGGTTTAAAACTAAAGCTCCCTTTATAAATTAAATGGCAAAATATTACATCTTCAAACTATATAATTTTATAAATATGGGATTTCCACCGACCCCCGGGTCCAGGGCGTGACACTAGTGCACCGATCTAAATAGGAATATAACATCTTATGCCTGCAATCATGAATGTAATAGCGTTTTTGTCCACAATGATAACATCCCTCATTAGCATTCTTTGATTTGTTGTTGGAACTTGCCTTTTTGAATTTACCTTTATCATTTTTCATTTTGAAGTTCTTCTTGTATTTGCTTCCTTCCACATTGTGAACTTTGGAGGAATCTTGAGAGGCAAAACTCTTATCACGATTTCAAGTTTCTTCTTCAATTTGAATCTCTTTTTGCAAGCTCTCCAAACAAATATCTTCAACCATATGTAGAAGTTTCTTTCTATAGTTATTCCATGCTTGGGGTAATTTAGCCATAATAGTCCAGTATCTTCTGGAATAACTATTTTAAGACTAAGACCAGTAATTCATGAACTTGGTCCAGGATGGGTTTATTGTCTAACATAGTGAATTCATAATATTTAAACATTAAAAATTTATACGTACCTGTTTTCTCCTTTTTGTACTTGCGTTCGAGTGCCTCCCAAATTTTCTTTAGAGATTGAATATGTGTGTACATATCATACAAACGATCAGCTTTTTTTTTTTGTTTTTGGGAAAAATGGAATTCATTCATCTAATCAAAGTAGCATACATAGAACAACACGAAACAGTGGCCTCGTTAAAACCTTCATGAGGGACAAACCTCAGGGTAAGAAAGAGTACCACACATGTCATAAACTAACAAGAGAGTCTGAAATAGTCATGCAGGACCAATGCTAGAGTAAGATAAAATAAAACAGCAAACTGACACATAGACCTTTGACGCAAAGACCTCCAACGAGAACACTACAACACAATCCAACTGTCAAAAGAGTCCTGCTATGAAATCATAGTCCTTTGCATAGCCACAAGAGAGTGAGAACATCCAACAAAGAACACAATACGCCAAGAAGAAAGAAAACAGACACTAAGCACACCATATCCAGCCACCTCCAATAGCAATTGGGGATGAAAGAAAAGAAATTTGCAAGGAGACACACAAAGAAGAGTCTAACTGAAAATAGGCCAGGAAAGAAAATAAATATATAAAAAAAGCCCCCAAGCACGCCATATCATCTGAACACTGACAAAGAAACCTCATATGAAAACATAGTCCTTGAGACAGGCGGAGAATCAAAGGTCGATTAAGGGGAGAACGAAGAAAACACCACGCAACAATAACAAAACTGGCCTAGCCACTTAACCTGAACACGGGGATCAGGCATAAGAGCATTCGTTGGAGATGGGTCCTCTGCAAACCAATTCATCTTCTTCAGGTTTTCTCCGGTTTGCAATTATATTCTCAGTATCTTTGTCACTTGGTTCAGGTATGAGCAACAATTTTGGGTCCAGGACATATAAGACATTAAGAACAGTAAGTAAGAAACGCATTTTGTCCTTCCATCGGGTGAAATTTGTTCATCGAATTTGTCTAACTTGTAGACATCTTGATTGATAACCTTCATAGTCATGCTATCAGATTTGATCTCAATGACGAATGACACTTTAAAATTGTTGAGTAAAAACTGAAAAATGGAGAAAGACTTTGAGGTACGATTTGAACCGTTTCCTTAAAATGTTATTTGCCCTCACTCAATTGAGTTTGCTAATGGATTCTTGGCAAACCACTTCCATGATATAACAAAGTCTGGAATCTGCGAATAGAAAAAACTCGAAGAAATCTCTTAGAAATTGCTATAAGGAAATTGTATGATTGTAAAAGAGAAGAGAGAATAGGAAACTATTTAGGATTCGTTTCTGATATCTTGCTCTGTTAACAATAGGAAGTATATATAGAGTATAGAAGGCACCCATTCAATTTATCTGAAAGTGCGCAACGCCACTTTCTCAAGGGACACTACCAAATATCATGTATGTTGGTATGTACCATTTCAACCAAAAGACATATTAATTAGTTGGTATGTACCATTTATCCAAAAGATATATTGATTTAACCAAAAGACATATTGATTAACCAAAACTCTTTGCCGTAGAAATTGAATCTGACTAACCAAAACTTCTTGTCAACATGGGTCAATCCCTAAAATCAATTGAAAATATTTCAAGTAAATGACTGAAATTGTATTATGGATGATATCTTTTGAACGTAAAAAAAAAAACAGTTGTCCACTCACTCTGCATAAGTAACACCCTAAAGAAAATACATATGCACAAAGGCGGAGACAATGAAGGCCCACAAGGGTAATCTGTCCCTTCTGAAGTTCCCTAATTAACCATACATTTGTTTATATTTACCCTTCGTTTATAATTTATTCTTAAAATCTGAACCTTCTAATTGAAGTTTCGCAAGCTGTTATAACTTCTTTTTTTCTTTACTTTTTTTCAATAACTTAAGAATTACTAACCTAAAACCACTTTTTTATGATTTATTTATTATCTCAAATTAAAAACAATAATGTTTATGTAATTTCTTTGTTATTTGAATTCTGAAATTGGATATTATTGATAATGAAGTGATTATGAAAATATTTCAAGAGATGAAAACTCTTTGAGGATGATTGTGAATGTATTGGAATGACATATGTGAGTTATTACTAAAGACTTTGTATTATTAGATAAATTTATCTTGTTTTGCAATGATTTTATTATTTGAGGTTGAGATGATTTTATTATTTATCTTGTTTTACATTGTAAACTTAAGTAAATGGAGTAATATAAAAATAAATAAAAGTAAAATGACAAAGACATTTACTTAAATGTTGAAAGTAGAAATAAGGTATATGTACACTGTTACCATTGGTTCAGAAAGTGGAAATAAGGTAATATGTACACTGTTACCATTGGTTCAGAAAGTGGAAATAAGGTAATATGTACACTGTTACCATTGGGTCAGAAGGGTCAATAAGATAATCTGTACACTGTTACCATTGGTTCAGAAGGGTCATATGACCCTCCTAGGCCTTAATTGGCTCCGCCCCTGTTTGGGGGCATTATTGAACTGGCCACGGATTTTCAATTTTATCAATTTGCATTCCAACGTTTTAATAATCGATCAATTTGATCATTTAGTCATTTGTTAAATTGACTGTTTAGTCCTCTGTTAAATTGATAATGTGAGAAGTAAGGGACCCACTTTTATGCTTATATTAAATTGATAGGAAAAAGCCACCACTTCTTTTTGGGTGAAATTCATAAGAGTCGTCAAGGGAAGACAAGTAATGTGTACTATAGAATCAACTATAAAAAAGCAAAATGGCAGTCAATTGTTGAGTTGAAGCCTCCACACAGGTAAAGGTAATGACACGCTTCATTGCTTTGTCAATAATAGTATGAGAATGTAATAATACAAGTGTTTGTGGTTTTAATCTGATGATCATTAGTAGTCTTCTCGTTATCAGTTCAGTTGCTGCAAAACGAGTAACATCTTGCTCTCTCTCCCTTTCTGTGAATGTGTGTAAGCAGCATACTGTGTGTCTTCTGTGTGTTTCATTTCTTAGTTTATGCTGGAATTGGAAATGATTGATGGAATTTTGTTCTTTAAATCTTAAAAATAGAACAACTTTGGTTTATGGAAAGTGTCTCCAATTCTGCTCCTGCTAGCTAAGTTGATCCTCTGAAAACCTTATTCCTCTTGTCAACACGGATCAATCCATAACATCAATTAAAAAAAAAAAATTCAAGTATCAATGAAATGGTATTGTGGATATCTTTTGAACGTAAAAACAGCTGCCCACCCACTCTGCATACATGCATCATCTGAATCAGCATGTAAGGCTACTTGAGAAACTTACACTACACAAAAGTTAAGCCGAGACAGTTAAAGAATAACAAATGATTAGGTGGACTCAGCTTCCCACCGATGCCCTTCCGGCCTTCAAAAGAGAAACATATAGCAATTCATTCCAAGTATCTGGAACCCCAGGCAAACACCAATGGCTGCAATCCTGAGATTGCTCTGCAGTAATCTGTTCTTCTACTGTCTTGTATTTCATTCTGTAAATGGAAGGGTGTCCGTCTTTTCTGTAATCTGTAAGCTTGCTTATGTTTAGATATGTCACTGGAGTTTTCATTTCTTGAAGTACATGCTCTAGGGCTCTCATCTTTGAAGGGTAATTCCCTAAATAAGTCTCATTAAAGATTGGCTCTGCTTCTTTGTGGCACTGCCCACCTGAGTTCCATTGCCCTCCGCTACAACCAGATCAAACTGTTTCAGAATTGGTCTTTGTGGCATAGTACATGGGCAGAAACTGAAGAAGGATCTCCCTTATAAAATGCTACATAAATTTCTGTGATGCTATTATGATAAGAGGAAAATCTAAACAAACTTAAACTTCCTAAAAGGTTTACTCTAGATACCTCCAACAATTTGAGAGCATAAATAGAGGTGAGGCAACTAAACGAGAAAACATTGTCCTATACCTGAAATGGGTAACTGAATATCCTCTGAAGAAAACCTGAGTCCGCTTGACCTCAATGTTCTTGTCAACCCATCTAGCCCAAGTGGTGAGAGCCCTCTTGTATGCTTCAAGAACCTTCAGTCTGGGATGCACATAGTTGCCTTCTTGGTAATAGTCTTCCCTGTCAAACCACCAAATGCAAAAATGAGAGAGTTTACAGTCAAGTGACTTCATTTTTACATTGGTCGAACATTGTCTTTACATGTTTTACAGTTTTAATTCACAGTATCAGCAACCCAAGGTTTGTAGGACCGTTCAATACCAGAGAGCTAAGTTCGCACAGCAAGGAGGAAAGCAATTTAACAAAGCAAATACACACCCTTTTGATGTTTTCTCATGAGTCCACCAATGGCCAGTGTTAAAAAC